TGCTTGTTTTACTTGGTCCTCTCAATCAGCTATAACGGAGTGGATATGGTCCATGTAGCTGAAGCGAGCCATTTTCCCTGGTGGTTGTCCCTAGTTGTCTCTCGACTCTGTTTGAAATAACCTTCGTAAACGGCTTGTATAGCTGTGAGAGAAGTGCTATGCGAGGTAGTTATTGTATAAGTTAGTCAGAAGACAGTGTTTGTCGCTGTCCACTGGAGCGGGGTCCTATGATGCCGATACTTATTATAGCGCCTAGTGGGCTATTTTATGTACAATACGATGGCTTCACAAAGCCAGCTCGATCTTTATTTGGCTGTGGGTCTTCGAGCTTTCCCGTGTGGGCTAACAGCTATTTTAGGGAGTAACCCCCGGGGGGAGCAATGCGTAGGCTGTGTGATGGATGAAGCGGAATTGCTTACGCATACTGCATAAGCTCCTGAAGTATTTCTTACAACGTCCGGTCCGGTACTACCACGCTAAAAGCAGAGCTTTTTCTGCTTATTTCTACCAACTATTTTTCGATGATTATGATTTCCAACCTTCGAAGATCCTGTAAGGAGACTTCGGTATCGATAATCCCTCCGTCACGGAGCATCTCCTACTACACCATGTCCAAACTGTGTTCAGATGGACTTTCATGCATTAGTTCGTGCACAAGTCTATGATCTGCTTTTTTGAACATTTGCACCAAAGAAAGACCGTCGTGTAACGAGGACGGTCCTTACATCGTCCACCGTTGGCCTCCGCAGCTTAGGCGCTCGAGCTGGAGAGGCACAAAAATGCAGAGTTCATATGGCACAGATGCTGACGGCCTGAAGCCAAATAGTTCGCCATACCAAAAAGGAAGCAAAAAAAGCAAAACAAGTGAGCGTCACCACCAGAGGAGCATCATCAGGGGTGTTGTTGGAAGTAGCATTAGTTGCTGCCAATGCAAAGAGGTGAACTTCAGAAAATGTGACAAAACACCAATCTAATCTTAACCATAATTGCCTAAATGCCCTCTCGCAACTTTCGAGCTACAAATGTCGCTGAGAGAACCATTCTATTGCAAACATTACTACGAAATCCTCATGCGAAGAAGACCGCTCGATTTGAGTCAGGGTCAGGCTTGGTCACGAGAGAATTTTTCAAATACGACCTCCGAGGCTTACACACTAGATCATTAATGAATTTTACTCCTCATTTTCTCCAAACCAGTAAATCTGGGATACATCACTTCACGATTTTGCTCGGTTTGTGGTTCAATCCCTCTGCCGATTCCAACCACGCCCACTTCGAAGCAGTTCAGCTCCCTTTCTAGCGGCTTTCCAAGGTGAGTTTTTTGTTCAGTCACACTTCTTATGTTCTTGACTAGGGCTAGCGCATCGTTCCACACCATTAGTGCGAAGGTAAAAACCCTGCTGGGACTGTTGCTTTGAAGACCGCGAGGCAAAGGGGAGGAGAATGAAACAGTTTGGGGTGTCATTGATAGAAGCTCACTAATCCTTTGCCGACAAGTGGCACCCACCGGTGGGTGCCACTCTGTGCGCCGCGTGGGACAATGGCACCCAGTAGTATGTGGCACCTTAATATTTCCTTCCTTGCGCATTTGGAATATATAAAATCTGGTAATTATTAGCAAGCTTCATGGTATTTATATGGAGCATGATCAATAGGAGAGTTTGATAGGAACTAATTTACAGGAAATTTCAGTGTGCGGCACTTGGCTCGGCAGAATTTTAACCGAGGTTTTGCATTACTAAACTGAAGGCGCGCCAAAAGGAGACGTGGTCCCATGAGCCCGCTTCGTCGAATCCACATTATCGTCAAAGGGTTAGGAGACGATTCAACCCCCTCCACCCAACGCAACTAGTGATTTGATCGAGCCCATCCTCCCAAAACTTATTCGCATTTTTGGAGACATGCTTAAACGCCAACTGGACTGTGGTTCCCTCAACGAACCATGAGCCATGAGCAACGGATCTACATATAATCCACCCCATCTCCATAGCTAGCCTCACGCATACCATTTTCCGTCCAGTACAATGAAAAAAAAGCAAAGAGTGGTCTCACCATAAAATTTATCAAGATTACGGTGGTTACGGGGCAGTGGTCAACCAACGCGTGAGAGTCCAGACAGAAAAGCACATACTTTCTGCTCTTCTAGGACTAAGCCTTTTTGAAGGAAGGAAAGAAAGCAGAGACGCTGTAATAGTGTGCATATGCGAGAGTGCCCAGAGAACACTAACGCGCCGCAAGATCCAAGATTTAGATACGCATCGACTGAGAAATTGTGAAACGCGTAAGCGAAACGTCCGGAGCAGGCGAATTTCAGTCAAGAGTTTGATATGTATCGACTGTGAGAAACGCACAGGCGGAAAATCGCGTGAGCGAAGCGTTCGTAAGTCGATGCGTATGATACTCATTTTCGTCGATCCTCCCACTTCACGATTCGCCTGTGCGTCTTCGTTCAGTCGATACATATTTCACATTGTTTCGCCTATGCGTTTTTTCGCGCAAGCGGACATCTCTGAACAGGGCCTTACGACTTCCGGCTGCCCGCTGCCCTTGGACGGATTACGGTATCGCTCTGTGTACGTAATCACAGACGGCCGCCGTCGTTATTCTACGTCATGTTCGTAATTTTAAGCTATGATGGAGGAATCGCAGTTCCAGTGCACGGTGCACCTTTTTTGAAGTTCATGTTTGTGAGGAATAATCTCGCAGTGCAGTGGTGAAGATATTTCCGTTATAGCGATATAAATTGCCAATCTTTCGTGTTCATAGCAAGTTGATGTCTTTAATGTGACGAGATTCTCTTGAACGTTTCACTTGGCTTTCTTTTTGATTTGATGACCTCTCAAATATTTTGTGATCTTGTGAGTGCTCCATATGCTGAAGGTTCACCAATGAGTTTGAACCGCCTTTCGCATGAAGTTTTCGCTATAGTCTCATGGGGGAAATCAATCACGTTGCCAACATTTCTGCATGTGAGTACAAGCAAGCTCGGACCATTAGCTACGTATCGGTGCTAAGCAGTGAAGACGCTACTGACGTTGTCTTTTTATACTCTCTTGTAGTCAATAGTCATGATAATTTCGGTACCTCATGAGGTCACCTTCTCTTTGATTTCTGCTTCAAGTGAATAAGGACGAACTTGTTCCATACTTGTTGCGGGTCTCATCCAGTAAGGAGAGGGTCTTGTGCTACAACAGTCCATATAGCTTTTAATTGATCATACGTTTTTCGAAGGGAAGATTAGCACCGGGATTGGTGTAAAAGCGCAAGCGAGTTCCCCGCGACCCGGGAATTTGCCGACGTCATACTTTGCGAATCGAGCGATTCGCTCGATTCGCAAAGTATGACGTCGGCCAAAATTGGAGTTTTGGTAGGCAGCAGCAGCTGTCGCAAAACATTCTCTCCCTTACAGGATAAGACCCCTCGTCTCTCCTCAATTGAATTTTCTTTTACTTTAGCACATCTCGTTCTCTTTTTGTAGCTTCATGAGCGGTCCCACTCCTGAAAAAGCGCTCATAGGTGTCCCTGATAGATGGATGCATTGCCCCAAAACTGGAAAGGTAA